GTCTCAGAGACCACGTGGAAATTTGCCCTGTGTTCTACTGAACAACTCTTACTGTGTCCAGGCCGTTCCTTGGTCTAGATCCTGGGAACACAGCAGGGACCAATAAACAAGGAAACTGTCCTAAGAATTAAATTATATAATATGCTAGATCAATGCTACATGAGACAGTAGCACAAGGGATCAGAGCCTGTGTGTGTGCGTGCGTGTGCATGTGTGTGTAGAGACGGTACGGTTCCGGAAACGTCAAAGGCTTGCACCGGGGCCGTTGGGGAAGAGATGGAAAAGAGGGGTTGAATTCAAGGCATGTTTAAGATTCAAAAACAAAACAAAAAACCAAGAGGTTAGCATGTGGAGTCTGAAAAAGAGGGAGAAATTCAGGACGATGCCCCGGTTCGACTTTAGGGAAGGGCTGGGGGCAAGGGGTGCCACCAACTCAAATTCCCCAAGAATATTTTTTTCACTCTTTCCCACTGAATCTTTTTCAAACAACTGGGACTACCCCAAGTTATAACTTACAACTCAATCTTGCCATAACTCCCATTGAAATGTAAAACACGCGAAACTTAAAAACAGCGATCGGTTTATATCTTCGTTCTTGGATCCTGAAAGTGGGGTCCCTGCGTGGGGGTGCAGGTATAGAATGCATTTTTCTAGGGAAAAGGGCCTCCGCTTTCATCGTGTTCTGTAAGGGACATAGGGCTCCACCTCTGTGCGGATTAGGTGACTGACCCCAGGTTAAGAGAGTGGTCCCTAGACACGTGGGGGAAAAGCTGGGACCGAAGAGTAGGAAACAGAAATTGCAAAAGGGTAAGAGGGAGGGAGATGCCAGAAGACCAGCCCTGAGCTCTTCGGTCTGCTGAAGAAAAGGACAGGACAGGATGATGGGCTGCTCTCTATTGCCTTCCCCTACTGTCTGGCCGGGGACACCTGGGAAAGAAAGCAAAGGGATGCACCCTTCATTGAAGTCTCCCCACCAAAGTATCTGTGGGCTGGGTATTAGGAAGGGCCGCACCCCACAAATCACCTCACTGGGAGGTGGAACAAAATGATTCAGCCCAAAGATGCTATGGGGTGGTGGTGGGGGTGGTGGCTGGTCAGACCCTGCTGGGAGAACTCCCTGGAGCAGGCTCTGAGCAGAGGGAAGGGACAAAGTTGGCGGGCAGCTGACTCCACCATGTCCGGATCCACCAGGATCCGGGCAGTGCCAGAGTGAGAGCCTGGTGAATTTATTAAGACCTTAGAGACTCACTCAGCCCGGGAACCTCCGGTGGCCTGGTCTTAGGTCACACTCATGTGGACCTTTGCCTCGGAGCCCCTTACCTTCTGGGGGTCTTAGGCGGCAGGGAGGAGGGTCTCCTTCCCACCCATCCTAGGAGTTAATGGAGAGTGAAGGGTGCACCGGGCGGTGGGAGTAACCTGACCCTACAGACTGGAAGTCCTGCAACCAATGCTAGTAGGGGTGGTGGGCGTCAGGGACAAGGACGGTCCTGGTCGCCAGACCTGCCACCTCGCCCCAGTCACTCAGGTTGGAAATCCTGTCCCCTACCCCGCTCCGCTCAAATACTCTTCCTGGGGGGCGGGGGGTCCTCTTGGCCCCGGGAATTAGTCCCTTGCCTGGGTACTGAACCTGATCGTCGCTCCAGGAGGACAGACAGGTGCAGGTGTTCACCTAGGAATCTCAGGGCTCATTCATTGTCCCCAACCAGGCAACTCCACCGCCTATCTTCAAAGCTGTGCGCCAGAGCACTAGGTGCGAGGACGGCGAGCGCCAGCGGGAAGAGGCGGGACCCCAGGTTACGCACTGACCCCGAGACGGTGACCACAAGGAGCGGGAACCCGGGGGCTCAGGGTCGTCCTGGAGGGCTGCACGGGATGGGGACCAGGCCGAGACCACTCCCTCCTACTTCCCCGACGTTATTTCCTGGGAGGAGTCGGAGCTCGCGGGCGGGAGCGGAGATTCCCACACGCGGCTCAGGAGTCCCGGGCGTCGGGGCGGGTGGTCCACGCGCGCGCCGCAGGTCGGCTCCGCCGCGAGCCGTGGCCCTAGGACCGCAGCCGGCCTGGTACGACCTCTAAAGGCGTCCGCGAGCGCGTCTTCACGTCGGCTCGTTGGTCTAGGGGTATGATTCTCGCTTCGGGTGCGAGAGGTCCCGGGTTCAAATCCCGGACGAGCCCGGCATCAGTTTTGGCGGAGACCCGAGCGCCCAGAGGCGAGGACAGACCGAACGGCCGGCGCGGCACGCAGACCTCCCTACGAACCCCGCACGGCGGGCCGGGAGCCTGGAGCCGGTGCGGTGCGCTGGAAGGTCTTTTGTTCCGAGCGCAGAGCCCGGTGGCCGGAGGGAGTTCGCGACGCGCCGCCGGGCCCGGGGAGCCGGAGAGGAGGGCGCGGAAGCGTGCGGACGTGGGGCTGGCGCCTCGCGTTCCCGCCCCGCTTCTTCGCGCGTCGCGCGTGTCCCCAGCAGGCCGGCTGGGGCTGCGGATGACGGCGAGCGGAACGCGGCGGGACTTGTCACAGGCCGGTCTCCGCGTCTCCGGGTTGCTCAGGGCCGGTCTAGGGCGTGCGCGGGTCTATGGCGGGCCCTTCCCGGGCTCGGAGGGGTGAAAGCCCGGACGGAGCGCGGCCAGGGAACCAGATGTTCGAGCTGGAGGACAGCTCCGTAAGCTTCTTCCTCGTTAGTATAGTGGTGAGTATCCCCGCCTGTCACGCGGGAGACCGGGGTTCGATTCCCCGACGGGGAGTAGTCTGATTTTTTTTTTTTTTTTTTTTTGCTGTTTTCTATCATCCTGCTCACAGCAAGGTACCTGGGCCTGGACGTGGGGTGGACAGGTCCCTTAGAAACAAAGAGGCAAGGGAAGGGGGACGTAAAGGGTAGTTGGTCCTGACTCTCGGGCTCACCGAGTTTGTGTTTCGCCTTGGGCACCTTGCGTGGTAATTGCGCGGCTGAATGAGCCCTTTGTCCCCTCGGGTCAAGGAATGTGCTGACGAGACGCGTCCGTGGGCGAGGACCGAGGCGCACAGCCGGAGGGACCGCACGGAGCCGGCGCCGCGCTCCCTCGGAGACCCGGACGCGCGCTTGCGGGCTCGGATGGGCGGGCAGGCCTCGGTGCTGACTGTGCTTCGCCAACGGGGCTCCCCCCAGAGGGGCGATCTCGGAACAAGGGAAAAGATTTTAAAAAATAATAATAAATCAAAAAATAAACGAAAAGGAAGGGTTATGCGTTGGCCGGGAATCGAACCCGGGTCAACTGCTTGGAAGGCAGCTATGCTCACCACTATACCACCAACGCCCGCCGAAAACGTCAGTTCCCGACGCTATATTTCAATACGTGCGGGGCCGCGTGGCCCGCGGAACGCGACTTCCGGGGAGCTGCGGGTGGGCGTGGTTGACGCGACCCCCCTCACCCCGCGAGAGACTGCGCTTAACCGCGCGCAGCCGACACAGGGAAAAGCGAGGTTCAGGTGACCTAAATGAAGGGGCTTTCTGGGTCACTGGCAGAGCCGGAGATACATCAAAGCTTTGTCGGGGTGGGGGGAAGGGGGCGGCGGTCGGGACGGCAGCGACACCGCGATGGCTTCGTCATCCCCTACAAATAAGTCCCGAACACACCAGTCGCTTCTCTGCTGAGCGAGCTCCGTGTGTCCCAGAGCTAAAGAGCTGAACTTCGCGCCAAGTGCGCCGAAGCACAGTTTCACCCACGGAGGGAGAGTCGTTCCCAGATGTCCACGTGCGGCTCCAAGAGCTACTCCGCCGACCCTTAGGGGAAGGTCCGGAGGGCTTAGCTCCGCCCCTTGTCGCTGACGATAGCTCTGTTCACGAGGTCCGGCCAACCGCGGGCTCGGGAAGGCCTCGTGGCGCAACGGTAGCGCGTCTGACTCCAGATCAGAAGGTTGCGTGTTCAAATCACGTCGGGGTCACGAAAGCTTGCCATTTTCGATACCGGGATCCGCATTTTCGGGCAAAAGGGGGTAAAAGTCCTCATCTCTATAATAGGAAAAAAAAAAAACCTCAGTGCCCCTGTGTTTTTTTTTTCCCCCAAAGTGTATGAATTTTCTCCTAAAATACAAATTCAGGAATCTCTCCCCCCCACCAATTTAGGAATTTCTTTTGCATCTTGACTGTTTCAGTCAAATCAACCAACAGTGACACCTTTAATCTCATGGATATTTTAGGTATCTTGGGGCAAATCGTTCACTAACGGCTCCGAGTTCTTGCTCAGAACATGTCTCTGGAGCAATAAAGATTCTTTATTGGAAGGGGAGTAGCAAGAATTGATCATTATTATACGTAGCAATTAATTAATTAAATGCAAATGTTCTCCAGACTTCTCAAATGTCACTAGAAGCCTGGAGCCAAGTGCATTTTTGCTGCTTCCGGCCTATTGGGTAGGGGGGCGGGGGCAACAAAGAAATACAGGCCGGCCACTCCGAAGGCCTTGTCCACCCGAGCGTGAGATTTCTTCCTGGACATCTCTTTCCTAACAGTGCCTCTGTTCGAGGGCACCCGGCCTGGGCTGCAGAAGAGCTGTCCGGCTTTCTGTCGGAGCGGTCACTGAGTCACGTGTGCCCAGACCGAGGCAGACAATCCGCTCTCCCTTGCACAGACTGTGCGTGCCCCAATTGGGAACTGCTGATGACTTAGGGAGCTGCCCAGGAGCTCTGACCACCTGACTCGGAAGGCATGTGATGGGGACAGCAGGCAGCCCAGCTTCCCCATTACCGCCCACCCTAAGCAGAGCACCTTTTAGGAGATACTCTGTCAAATAAATAAATAAAGAAAGAAAGAAAATCTTTTTAAAATAATAATTAATTGATTAATTAATTAAAGTGTGACAAAGGAAGCTAAACAATGTGGAGGAGAGAATTAGAAGCTCTGATTATGTCAAAGAGGAATTTAAAAAAGAAGACAATAGAAAATAGTACAGAAACTGTATACATAGACTTAGTTCTTAAAATTTTACCCTGGAGCTTCACCTGTATGCCTTTTATTTCACCAAAAGAAAAAAAATAGGGCAAAGTTTATTAAGAGTTAATTAATTGAATAGTAGTTACGCAAGTGCTTTTAAAAAATATTCTTGATATTTGAAATATTTCATCACTTTTTGTGGTAAGATACACTTAAGGTACAATTTACCATTTTAGCCATTTTAATGTGCACAATGCAGGGTACTCCCACAGTTGTGCACCAGTCACCATGATTTGATTCCAGAACATTGTCATAGCTCTGAAAACCTCGTAGCCAGCCGCTGGCAGTCACTCCCCACCTCAACCCCAATCCTTGGGAATATTGGCCAGGCTCCCTGCCCCCACCCCACCCCCACAACCAGACCCTCCTGACTCTACTCCTCATTCCTGAAACAGGCTCACTGGTGGATGATGAGAATTCTTGTCCTGAAACTTCTTTGGGGGATATCCCATTATCAGAAATTAAAGGGACTAACATCTGTGCCTCCCGAACATTATACTATCCTAACCATCCTGCCCTGACCTTTGGGGCAGAATCCAATTCTAACCCTTCCTAGTCTTGGCAAAATTCAGCCCTAGCAAGAACAGTGGCAATTCCCCCCTTCATGGCACCTCAAGAATCACTGGGGTTAACAACAGAGATTTTGTTCATGAACTTCAACAGGCAGCTGATGGTTGCCTAGCGGATAAACAGATAGCTTTTGTTTTGTTTTGTTTATGAATAATGCAAATCCCAATCGCATGCTGGCCCATCAAATATTCCTGAAAGGCCAAATAGCTTCGGGCATAATGGGCAAGTGGGAATTTAAGGACTATGGGGGCAGGGACAGAGTATTGGATCTATCAGGGTACGTCCTACCCATGCACTGTGTCCCGTGACAGATTCCAGAAAAATCGCCCTTCGCTAGGTCATGAAGAATAAAGTACTGGGCAGGTGATGGAATTTTTACAAAGCTTTTCATTAGCTGGTCTCTCCATGCCAAGTATGTTGATGAAGGCGAGGCAGTTGTCATGGGCTCCCTGACCTTGGGAAGCAGGGTTAGGCTGACCCTAAGACACTTTACCAGTGTCCTTGGCAGTAGTCATGGGACGCATTTTTGGCTAGCGAGAAATCTCTTGGGTCCTTCTGGAAAGGCTTCTGCTCATCCTGATAAAGGGGGCAGAGACCGTTGGCGGCCATCTGGGAGTCCTAAGGGACATGTCAAGAGAATCACAGGAAGGCCAGTCCACATCTCCAACAAAACAACCAGCTACCTGCTGACTTCTTGCTAAGAGAAAACAGATCCCTGTTGTTTGTGCCGCTGCTGACTATGTTTTCTGTAACTTTCAGCCAAAAGCATTACGCAGCACTGGAGAAACCCATAAGGACTTCTTGGATTTACATTTGGCTGAATCATATGAAAATGGTGTTTTTGTAGATCAAGGGATTGGCTCTTAGTGGTTTCACATCTTTCACTCACACTCTATAGCCAAGAACCCTCTAGGTCTGTAAGTGTGTGTCACTTAGTACGCTTTTGACGGTGAATAACGAAACTCTTGAGTCAATGCATTAGGGAAGAGACCTACAGGTCCGTATAAGGAAAGTGCAAAATGGGCATTGAGAGGCTGAACGACACCATCAAGGTCTTGGGTTCTTCCCAGACCTTCTACAAAGCTAGCTTCCTTCTCAGGCTTCTGGAGCACCACCAGCAGCAGCAAGGTGGGCTTTGTGGAGAAAAGGAGTTTCTGCCCAGCATTCGGGAAAAGAATCATAAAGTTCCCATTCACTGGGTCGCTTGGGTCACAAGCTGATCCCTGAACCAATGACCAAGACCCGGGAATAAAAGGTGTTGACTCGTGTGGATCAATCAGCATCTGATCCTGGACCTGCACAGGGGTCAGCTTCCCTCTCAGACCCAGAAACTTCTAGGTGCCTTCTGGAAGTGGGAATGGCACTAGCTAGACAACCACACTGTCCACTACGACAGGTCTCCATCAAGTTAGGGATTGGGAGTTGGCAGAAACAGAAACGGAGGGACTACAATGGAAACTGACTACCCAGAAGTGGGGGACGGGGCAGGTGGTTCCCTAAAGCCAACTTAAGGTGTTGAAGAAAGAGGAAGGGTGCTGGACACGTCATACTTACAAATACCCACTACTTGTTCCATAGGAGGCCCCCAGATGTACTTATTAACCCAATTATGACATCTGTGTTTGGAAAGAGCAGAGAAGAAGGGAGTGTGGCGAGAAGGAGAAGAGTTAGGGTCCGTCCAAACAATGCAGCCACCATCGGGAGACCTGCATAGAAAGGTCCGCTGGTGGAAAATTCCTGCTACAGATGTGAGGGCAAGACTTTAAAGAATAAAATAGTAATAACTCAAAAATAAACCCATGCAGACAATGGAACAGAATAAAGAGGCCGGAAATATGGAGATCCAAGTATCTACTATCACAATATATCAGGAGTAGTTTGCTGTTTTTAAAGATTTTATATATTTATTTGAAAGAGAGAGAGAATGAGCAGAGGAGGGGGCAGATATCTTTTTGAATCTTGCTTTCCTTTCCTTTGGATAATTGCTCAGAAGTGAAATGCTGGGTCCTATGGTAGTTCTGCCTTTAAGTTTTGTTTTTTGGGGTTTTTCTGTTTGTTTGTTTTTTGTTTTTTGTTTTTTGTCTTTAAGCTTTTGATGACCCTCCATACTGCTTTCCATGGTGGCCACACCAGTTTGCATTCCCACCAGTGCACGAGGGCTCCCTTCTCTCTACTTCTTCTTTTATTTTTTTTAAATTTTTTAAAATTTCTTTTCAGTGTTCCAGAATTCGTTGTTTATGCACCACACCCAGTGCTCCATGCAGTACGTGCCCTCCAAAATACCCACCACCAGGCTCACCCAACCTCCCACTCCCCCAAAACCCTCAGTTTGTTTCTTAGAGTCCACAGTCTCTCATAGTTTGTCTCCCCTTCCAATTTCCCCCAACTCTCTTCTCCTCTCCATCTCCCCATGTCCTCCGTGTTATTCTTTATGCTCCCCAAATAAGTGAGACCATATGATAATTGATTCTCTCTGCTTGACTCACTTCACTCAGCATAATCTCCTCCAGTCCTGTCCATGTTGATACAAAAGTTGGGTATTCATCCTTTCTGATGGAGGCATCATACTCCAAAACTGAATCAGGAAGAAATAGACAACCCAAATAGACCGATATCTAGTAACGAGATTGAAGCAGTGATCAAACACCTCCCCAAAAACATGAGCCCAGGTCCTGACGGATTCCCTGGGGAATTCTACCAAACATTAAAAGAAGAATCAATACCGATTTTCCTGAAGCTGTTTCAAAAAATTGAAGCAGAAGGAAAACTTCCAGACTCTTTCTATGAAGCCAGCGTTACCCTGATCCCCAAACCAGGCAAAAACCCCACCGAAAAGGAGAGTTTCAGACCCATATCCCTGATGAGTATGGATGCCAAGATTCTCAACGAGATCCTAATTAATACAATCCAACAGTACATTAAAAAGATTATCCACCATGACCAGGTGGGATATATCCATGGGATGCAGGGGTGGTTCAACATTCGCAAATCAATCAGTGTGATAGAAGAAATCAGTAAGAGAGGAGAGAAAAACCACATGATCCTCTCAATTGATGCAGAAAAAGCATTTGACAAGATTCGGCATCCATTCCTAATTAAAACACTTCAAAGTACAGGGATAGAGGGAACATTCCTCAACTTTGTAAAATCTATCTATGAGAAACACACAGCAAATATCAACCTCAATGGGAGAAAAGCTGACACCCGTCTCTCTACTTCTTGATCCAAACTTGGTTTTTCTTTCTTTCTTTTTTCCCCCCGAAATTGGTTTTTCTTGTCTTTTTGATGACAACCGTTCTAACAGGTGTGAGGCTGAATCTCATTGTGGTTTTGATTTGCATTTCCCTGATGATTAATGATGTTCTGGAAGCATCTTTCATGTACTTGTTGGTCATCTGTAGGTCTTCTCTGGAAAAATGTCTATTCCAATCTTCAGCCCATTTTTTTTTAAAGATTTTATTTATTTATTTATTTATTTATTTTTTTTTCTCATTAAACTTTTGTTTTAATGGGTCTCAAAATTCTGTGACAGATTTTTGGTCAAGTTGTTTCCATTAAAAAGTACTGATTTTAAACACTAATAACTTAAAACTGCCACACACATACACAAAAGCGAATGGTCCACAAAACATTCTCTTTTCCTTCTGAAGGTTTCACGAGGCACTGTTATCATTAACCAGTCTTTTACTGTTAAACTTAAATGGCCAACTGACACAAACAGTTCTGAGACCATTCTTCCACCACTGATTAAGAGTGGGGTGGCAGGTATTGGGAATAATATTCATTTAGCCTTCTGAGCTTTCTGGGCAGACTTGGTGACCTTGCCAGCTCCAGCTGCCTTCTTGTCCAGTGCTTTGATGACGCCCACAGCAACCGTCTGTCTCATGTCACGAACAGCAAAACGGCCCAGAGGAGGATAGTCAGAGAAGCTCTCAACACACATGGGCTTGCCAGGAACCATATCAACAATGGCAGTGTCACCAGATTTCAAGAACTTGGGACCATCTTCCAGCTTTTTTCCAGAACGACGATCTATCTTCTCCTTCAGCTCAGCAAACTTGCAAGCAATGTGAGCTGTGTGACAGTCCAGCACAGGTGCATATCCAGCACTAATCTGGCCTGGATGGTTCAGGATAAGCACCTGAGCTTTGAAGCCAGCTGCTTCCATTGGTGAGTCATTTTTGCTGTCACCAGCCACATTGCCATGACGAACATCTTTGACAGATACGTTCTTGACATTGAAGCCCACATTGTCCCCGGGAAGAGCCTCACTCAAAGCTTCATGGTGCATTTCGACAGACTTGACTTCAGTTGTAACATTGACTGGAGCGAAGGTGACCACCATGCCAGGCTTAAGAACACCAGTCTCCACTCGGCCCACAGGGACAGTACCAATACCACCAATTTTGTAGACGTCCTGGAGAGGCAGACGCAAGGGCTTATCAGTTGGGCGAGTTGGTGGCAGAATGCAATCCCGAGCTTCAAGCAGTGTGGTTCCACTGGCATTCCCATCTTTACGGGTGACTTTCCATCCCTTGAACCAAGGCATGTTAGCACTTGGCTCCAGCATGTTGTCACCATTCCAACCAGAAATTGGCACAAATGCTACTGTGTCGGGGTTGTAGCCAATTTTCTTAATGTAGGTGCTGACATCCTTAATGATTTCCTCGTATCTCTTCTGGCTGTAGGGTGGCTCAGTGGAATCCATTTTGTTAACACCAACAAAGTTGGTGTTAGTTGTTTTAGACCCAGTGTGTAAGCCAGAAGGGCATGCTCACGGGTCTGCCCGTTCTTGGAGATACCGGCTTCAAATTCACCAACACCAGCAGCAACAATCAGGACAGCACAGCCAGCCTGAGATGTGCCTGTAATCATGTTTTTTATAAAGTCTCTGTGCCCTGGAGCATCAGTGATGGTCACATAATACTTGCTGGTCTCGAATTTCCACAGGGAGTTATCAATGGTGATACCATGTTCACGTTCAGCTTTCAGTTTATCCAAGACCCAGGCATACTTGAAGGAGCCTTGTCCCATCTCAGCAGCCTCCTTCTCGAATTTTTCGATAGTTCTTTTGTCGATCCCACCACATTTGTAGATCAGATGACCAATAGTGGTAGACTTGCCCAAATCTACGTGTCCGATGACAACAATGTTGATATGAGTCTTTTCCTTCCCCATTCTGGTTTAGGTGGAGTGGTGGTTTTCACGACACCTGTGTTCTGGCGGCAAACCCGTTGCGAAAAAGCTATTTATTTATTTTTTTATTTGACAGACAGAGATCACGTGTAGGCAGAGAGGCAAGCTGCCTGGGGGGGACAGGCTCCCTGCTGAGCAGAGAGCCCCATGCTGGGCGGGATCCTAGGATGCTGGGATCATGACCTGTGCTGAAGGGAGAGGCTTAACCCACTGAGCCACCTGGGCACCCCCCATTTTAAAATCAGATTGTTTGGTTTTTATGCCATTAAGTCATATGAGTTCATTAGCTATTTTGGATATTACCCCTTATCAGGTACATGATCTGCAAATATTTTCTCCCATTCACTAGATTGCCTTTTCGTTTTGTTGATAGTTTTCTTGGCCGTGTAGAAGCTTTTAGTTGGATGTAGCCCCACTTGTTTATTTTTGGTCTGGCTTTTGCTTTTGGTGTCAAATAAAAAAAAAGAAAGAAAGAAAGAAAGAAAAAGAAAAGAAAATTGCGACGACCTATGTCAAGGATTCTACAGCCTGAGTGTTTTTCTAGGAGTTTTATGGTTTCAGGTCTTACATCCAAGTCTCTAACCCATTTTGAGTTAATTCTTGTGTGTAGTGTAAGAGAGTGGCCCAGTTTCACTCTTTTGCAGGTGGATGTGCAATTTTCCTAGCACCGTTTTTGAAGGGACCACCCTCTTCCCACCCTTTCCCATTACGTATTCTTGGCTCGTCTTCCAGAAGCTGACTGACCACGTGTGTGCATCTATCTCTGGGCTCTGTGCTCGGCTCCACTGGTCCACGGGACCGTTTTTAAGTCCATCCCGGCTGTTTCAATGACTGCACCTTTGTGATGTAGTCCGAGCCCAGAAGAACCGGAAAGCATAAACCTGTGGCTCTGTTCTTTCTCAAGATCGCTCTGGCTCTTTGCGTCCTTTGGCGGTTCCAGATGCATTCGGTAATTTTTCCCTATTTCTGTGGAAATCGCCGTTGGAATTTTGGTGGAGATTGCGTGGAATCTGGGGCTTGCTCCGGGTAAAGGGCGGCCTTGAAATTCCGCGGGGAACTAGTGGTTTGTGTAACAAACGGTGCTGCCACAACGAGCTCCCCGCCCGTCGAGAACAAACCCCTGGTTCCTACACACAGAAGGAGACATTCCGGTTGGATGGAAATTTGCAATTAGTGAAGGAAGAAGACGTGAGAACTACGGGCTCTGGGATGCCGCCGCTTTCCCGCCCCGAACCTCCGGTGGGCGGTGTCTGGCATTCCGCCTCCCGCATTGGGTCCCACGGCCTATGTCACGGGGAGCCCAGCCAATGAGGACCGCGCACGGACAGCGCACTCAGCCAATGGGGCCAGGGCGGGAGATTTGAAAGGGCCTCAGAGGGGGCCCGGCCCGGCAGGTTCAGTCGTTTGCCCGCGGCCCGGGGGTGGCTGTGCCACGGGCGCCAGGTGAGCTGGCGGCCTTTCGCGGGTCTTGCGCTGGGAGAGGGCAGGTGATCAGGCAGGTCGGGGGTCCGTTGGGCGGCCCGCGCGCACCCGCCGGGCTCCTGGGAGCTCAAGGGTAGAGGGAGGGTCCTGAAAGCGGGGTGCGCAGGAGCAGGGCGGGGCGGCAAGACAAGCGCCGGGCGCGCCGGGAAGAGCCTGCGAGTTGGGCAGCCCCCTTTCCCCAGCCCCCGAGCCGCGCTTCCGCCCCGATCGGTTTGACCCCTCCCTCTCTCGCTCCCTCTTTCCTTCCTGCTTCTGACAGCCCGTCTCCCTCGTCTGCCCAGCTCTCCTCCCCCTTCCTTCCGAGGATGGCCCAGAAGGAGAACGCCTACCCCTGGCCCTACGGCCGGCAGACGGTAAGGACTTGCCCACCTCCCCTCCGCCCGCCCGCAGGGAGAGTTCCTGCCTGGGGACTTGAGGTCGTGCGGAGGACGACCCTCCGAGTCCTCCCCGCTTTGCTCCAAGGAGTGGGTCCCAAGACTTTGCTGGCGGAACCCGGTCTGGGCATTTGCAACCACACCCAGTCGGGTGCCGCCAGCTTGAATCTGATCAGCCTACGAGGAGCTCTGCAAGGTTGAGCCTACTTGTTGCCTACACACATGGTATCTGGGACTGAGCAGGCGGGTTTGCCCTGGGGGCCATGACCCCCAGTAGGCTAGACAGGAAGTAGAGAGAGACTCTGAACGGGTTTTTTTATAAAGGATATATTAAATTAATAATTTGGAATCTGTTTTAGCGACTGGTGTGAGATCAAAATCAAAATAGATTTGTTTTCCAGTTGTCCTAAGACCTTTTACTGGACAGTCTGCTTTCTGATTTGAAATGCCACCTTTATTACATAAAATGCCCACCTCTATGTGGATGTGTTTCTGGACTCTTATTTGTCCCACTTGCTTACTTGTAAATTCTGTACTGATATCACTGCTTGGGAATGGGTTTTTAGGGCATGAGGCTTTCTTCTCTAGGCTAAGAAGAATGAAGGAGCTCTCATAGGCTTTGCTCCCTTTGGTGGGGCTTGGGTATCCTGAAGAGTCCAGCTGTCCCCTTGTCCACCAGCTCCTGCCCTCATGCAGCACTTAGCGAGGCTGGCAAGAACAGAGTCTGGAAGAGAAACCACGGTCACTTCGACACAACTTCGAAAGGTTGTGTATATTACTCTGAAACGCTGCAAGAGAGAAATAGTCCATCAGAGTAGCCCTTGGTGTCTCCAAAGCCGGTGGTTGCAAAGGGGTGAACACTGGAATTTGTTGCAACCTTCAAGACCTCCAGGGCCTTATCTAAACCTTAATATACTGAGGGGTTTTTTTTTTTTTTTCTAAATTTTTTTCTAATTAAAAAAAAAATCTTTGAAGATTTTATTTTTAAGTAATCTCTACACTCAACACAGGGCTCAAACTCACAGCCCTGAGATCAAGAGTTGCATGTTCTACGGACTGAGCCAACCAGGTGCCTCTAGACTGAATTTTAGGGGGCTGTGAGAATGTTTCTGCTAGAATTGTGTGTGGGGGGGTTGTTGTTGTTGAAGATTTTATTTATTTGACAGAGAGAGAGCGCGAGAGAAGGAGAAGCAGGCCTCCCCCTGAGCAGGAAGTCCGATGGGGGTGGTGGGGCTCGATCCCAAAACTCAGGGATCATTACCTGAGCCAAGGGCAGGCTTAACAACTGAGCCACCCAGGCGCCCCTTGTTTTTTTTTTTTTAACCTGACCCTCTACTCCCCACCAGGGTGGAGTAGGTCAGGGGGAATGAATGTGGGGTTGCAGATGGTACCGTAGAGGTTAGAGGGTTTCATGCATGAAAATGTGGTGCGGCCAGGGCCAAGGAGGTGAAATGTTCAATGTTGGGGTGAGTCCTCTGCTCCTTATCTTGGGCCAAACTAGGTCGCTTATGAAGAACCCATTTTATTTTATTTTTAAAGATTTTATTTATTTATTTGACAGAGATCACAAGTAGGCAGAGAGGCAGGCAGAGAGAGAGAGGTGGAGGCAGGCTCCCTGCGGAGCAGAGAGCCCGACGTGGGGCTCGATTCCAGGACCCTGGGATCATGACCTGAGCTGAAGGCAGAGGCTCAACCCACTGAGCCACCCAGGTGCCCCTGAAGAACCCATTTTAATACGGAGCAAAGAGCGGGGCCTTGGGCTGAGTAACAAAACCATGGTCTCAGTGTTCCTCCTGGAACAGGGGGTGGCTGGCTGGCTGGCCGGCTGGGTGGGCTGACAGCGAGTACTGAAATGCTGCTTCTAGCACATTCCAACCCGCTCCCCGGGACAAAGCCTCCCTCAGAGGTTCCCGCTGCTCCTTCTCAGACTCAGGCTGGCCTGAACACCCTGCCCCAGCGAGCCCTCCGGAAGGACCCTGCCACACCATCTGCACTTGTCCTCATGAGCCGCTCCAACACCCAGCCCACAGGTAATGCGGACGCGGTGGGGGGGCACTGAGCTGAGCGGACTAGGGTCTATGGGGAGGGCGCCAGGAGGAAAACGTCAAGGAGGGGGCCCTCAATTCCCCTGTTGTTTCCTTAGCTGCCCCTGGCCAGAAGGTGGTGGAGAACAGCAATGGGACCCCCAACTTCCCAATGTGAGTACCCAAGCCTTGTAGTGGCAGTTAGAGCAGGGGGGAGAGCAAACACGGAGGACAGCAGGGAGGTGGCCACTCGGCCGGAGCAGGGATGTAGACAAGAAAGCCTGATCCGTCCTCACTTCCCTTGGGAAAGGAGGGGCAGGGCTGCGGGCCTGCAGGGCTGAGGGGGAGGGGGGCACACAACCCCCTTGGGTGACCCACCAGCTGGCGCTCGCCTGCCTTCCCCCCACCTCTCATCAGGCGCTCCTTCACCATCGACGACTTTGAGATCGGGCGTCCTCTGGGCAAAGGCAAGTTTGGAAATGTGTACTTGGCTCGAGAGAAGAAAAGCCATTTCATCGTGGCTCTCAAGGTCCTCTTCAAGTCTCAGATAGAAAAGGAGGGCGTGGAGCACCAGCTGCGCAGGGAGATCGAAATCCAGGCCCATCTGCAGTATGAGCCCTGCCCTCTGCTGACCTCAACCCCTCTGCTTCTCCCCAGGCTCCTCTTTTACCTGCTGCCCCATCCAGACTGCCTCATAGTGGTTCCTTAGCCCACGGAGCTCCCAGCCCTTGCCAGAGCCCTGAATCCAGAGCCCTGGTGAATCCAGGATCACCCCCTGTCATCACTGCCAGCCCCCAATCCTTGGCCTGGTCCAAATGCGACCCCACTTTACCCCACCTGGCACTGTCATCTTTCCCAGTCCCTTAGGCCAGGATGCAACCTGAGTCCTGCCCTATCTCCTCCAGGCATCCCAACATCCTTCGTCTCTACAACTATTTCTACGACCGGCGAAGGATCTACTTGATTCTGGAGTACGCCCCCCGCGGGGAGCTCTACAAGGAGCTGCAGAAGAGCCGCACCTTCGACGAGCAGCGCACAGCCACGGTCCGGGCATGTGGGCGCTGGGGGGCACTGGCAGGGGACCCGAGGCCGGGGGTCCGCACCGCTTGGCGCTGGAGGCCCAGGCTTGTCTGACCTCCTGTTGTTGGCGCTCCCAGATCATGGAGGAGCTGGCTGATGCGCTGATGTACTGCCACGGGAAGAAGGTGATTCACAGAGACATAAAGCCGGAGAACCTGCTCCTGGGGCTCCAGGGAGAGCTCAAGATCGCGGACTTCGGCTGGTCCGTGCACGCCCCGTCACTGAGGTATGGTGGGCTTGGGCGTGAATGACAGGCGCACTCAGGGTAGCACCACTCCTGATCTTGGTCCGCAGAGATGTGCGGGTTTGTCCTCATGTGCATATAGACACAGCAATCTGTTGACAAAGATAGGAGACCTCTTATTCTGTTGCCCAGATTTCCTGGGACCCACTCACCGCGTCACTGAGAATACTCCCACCTCGCTTGTAAGGCTTCATAGTATTATAGATGGACATTTAACCTGGTCTATTTCTTTCTTTCTTTTTTTTTTTAAGATTTTATTTATTTATTTGAGAGTGAGCGAGAGAGCACAAGCGGGTGGGAGGGACAGAGGCAGCAGGAGATGCAGACTCCCCACTGAGCAGGGAGCCCAGTACAGGGCTCGATCCCAGGACCCCAGGATCATGACCTGCACCGAAGGCAGACGCCCAGCCTGATGCATTTTAGTCAGACCAGCCCATTGGGCTTTTGAGACAGCCCTGGTTTAACCATTCCCAGTAATTCTAAGATGAGCGTTGCCCTTATTTTTTTTTTTTTTTAAGATTTTATTCATTCATTCATGAGAGGCAGAGAGAAAGGAAGAGGGAGAAGCAGGCCCCCTGGGGAGCAGGGAGCTGGTCGCAGGATCCAATCCCAACACCATGGGATCATGACCCGAGCCGAAGGCAGACGCTCAGCCGACTGAGCCACCCAGGCACCCCTGAGCGTTGCCCTTAGATCTGATTATTTTAAGATCTATCCCTCCTGGCGGAAATCCTGGGGCGGTGTGGGATTCCACCCCGGGACTGTGGATTCTGTCTTTACCCTACCTCTGCCCCAAAGGGCCCTGTCAGAGCCCGGTTGACACAGTCCCCTGGAGCATCCTGGGGTTACTCGGCTGCCTGGGGGGCAGCCGGGAAAAGAGAGGTGGTTTTTCACCTGGGATCGCTGCCCTCCCCCCGCCACCCGCCATCCCACCCAGGAGGAAGACGATGTGCGGGACGTTGGACTACCTGCCCCCGGAAATGATCGAGGGCCGCACGCACAACGAGAAGGTGGATCTCTGGTGCATCGGGGTCCTCTGCTACGAGCTGCTGGTGGGAAACCCGCCCTTCGAGAGTGCTTCCCACAATGAGACCTATCGACGCATCGTCAAGGTGGGAGGGCGGCCCCTGGGTGCAGAGGCCAGGGGGGCTGGCAGGTGCTGGGCGTCCTGGAATTCTCCAGATGGAATGGGGGGGGGTGGTCAAGGGTAACACTAAGGGGCCCCTTGTCCTTCCTCAACTTCCGCAGGTGGACCTGAAGTTCCCCGCCTCTGTACCCTCGGGAGCCCAGGACCTCATTTCCAAGCTGCTCAGGCACAACCCCTCTGAACGGCTGCCCCTGGCCCAGGTCTCCGCGCACCCTTGGGTCCGGGCCCACTCCCGGAGGGTGCTGCCTCCCTCTGCCCTCCAGGCTGTCCCCTGACTTGCTGCTCTCGTTGATTCAGTTGTGTCTGTTTGTGTGCCTATATACGTGGAGTCGGAAGGAGGGGTACCTGGCCTGTTCCTTTACCTGTCTTCTACCCCCTGTGTATTTAATAAAGGCTGAAGCTTTTTGTACTGATGAGTTTAGATGGTTTACATTCAGGTAGAGACTGCTGGGGGCAGGGGGTTCCCCTGGAGGGAGAGGATAGTGAGAATTGAACCTGTACCACACCCCCTTCCGCGCCCACCCTCCTTCAGCTCCCAGCTCCCCCAACCTGTCCCCCCTTGTTTCTTCCCCTGCTTGGGCGGCTGGGGTCTCCGCTCCCCTCAGCTGCACCTCTAGTCTTTCCTTCTGGTTCCGCCTCTGCCAGCCTAGGAGCAACTGAACAGGGCCTTCCCCCAGAAGGTAGCTCTGTATTACTGCTCTGCTGAGGGACACAGAGAGGTTGCGGAGCCCACTGACAGTCACACAGCTATTAAGTGGGGAGAGCCCAGTTTTAAAGTCTGTATTCCTTAACACTGTGCTAGGGTGGTCCTATTGATACTTTCAGGCGGCACACACATTTATTTTATGGGCATATGGATCCCAGAACTGGAACAAGATTTGCAGTTTTTACCGTTCCTGTGTAGTCCAGGGAAAAAGGGTTCCTTACCAGATTAAGAAAGTGTTTGGTTTTTAGGTGCCCTCACTAGATGTCAATTTTCTTCAAAGGCTTTCTCTTCATCTATTGGTTATTTGCTCGTTGAATCAATGTGAGGTATGGGAATATATTTTCTTTTTTAGACTTCATGCAGTTTTTTTTTTAAAGCTTTTATTTTTTATTTTTTTTTAATATTTTATTTATTTATTTGACAGACAGAGATCACAAGTAGGCAGAGAGGCAGACAGAGAGAGAGGAGGAAGCAGGCTCCCCCTGGAGCAGAGAGCCCTATGTGGGGCTCCATCCCAGGACTCTGGGATCATGACCTGAGCCGAAGGCAGAGGCTTTAACCCACTAAGCCACCCAGGCGCCCCTTGTTATTTTTTTTTTAATAAATGTTCTTATTTTTCTTTGATCTTCATTACTGATGTGCCACCGCCATTCCTAGAGCTGCCATAACAAATTACCAATAATAACAAATAACAAAATACTAAGGTGATTTAAAACAGAAAATTGGTCCAGAATCAAATGGGCCACAGTGCCCCACCCCCATCAGGGGCTCTGGGAGCATTGTGGGGGTGGGGATGGGAAATCCTCCCTTCTTCCAGCTTTGGGTGGCTCCAGGCATTTCTGGGTATGAGGCTGCTCTACTCCCATCTCTGCTTCGGCTTCATGCTGTTCCCCTTTTCTCTCTCTGCTTCCTCTGTGACTTAGTCATTTGACTTAGGACCCACCCAGATAATCCAGGATGATCTTGTCTCAAGATCTGCAGACTCTTCTCCAGATGGGGTAAAAAGACTCTTACCCATGGGGTAAAACGAATGATGTTGTAAGAATTTTTTTTTTTTTTAAACCCTGGTTTTCTCTCCCTTTTCTTCTCTGCCAACCCCCTCCTTCCTTCAGCCAATGAAATCCACGGGGTCCCAGCCCCACCCCACCCCCTTACTCACAAAATCCACTGCTCTCACGCTGATTCAGGCCACCAGCCTCCTAAGTGTTCTCCCTGCTTCTATTCCTGGCCCATCCTCCACTCCGAACTCATTCTGTGGCAAGGTCCTCTCCCGCTTTTCAACCCTGGTACACTAAAGAATCACGAAGAAAATAGAACTCTCAGACTAAAATTCCGACTTAATCGGCCAAGGTTGAGACCCAGGCATCTATCTGAGTCTAGAGATTATGCCCCTCTCTACCTGGAGCTCAGCGGCTCTAACCCCTTCCATCACTAAAGCATGAACTCCTTGCTGTTCCTTGAACACTGGCAAATTCGTTTCTACCTCTGGGCCTTTGCACTTGCTCTTCCCTCTGTCTAGATTGGCACCTGCAGCCTCCTTTCAGTCATGGGAAAAATCAGGGGTTCTGCGTTATGACCTTTGGTCAGTAACCTGTGCTTGACCCCTCAGGAGACGTTTCTGAGAGGCATTATCTCCTTGCTCATGAAATTCCATGTATTCTAGCAAGAGCCACCCCCTTAATTAAATAATGTGATGGTATGTCATTATTCCATATCCCACAGAAACCCTACATTCCACCCCACATCCTCCCGAAAGCCTGTCCACATTTCTGTGGGTGCTGTGGGCACTGGCAAGATGCAAGAGGGGGTCTGCTCCCCTCATTGTGGCCTGCGGAGGATAGAGCTTTAGCTTCTGTCTGGCACCCCTGAGTTCTAGTCTTTTCTCCACTGTTCATTAGCCATGTGACCTTGGCCAGATGGCTTAATCTTTATGAGCCCTTGAAGATGGAAATAATCCTATCTTGCCTCTAACGTAGGCTGTTCTTGGGACGCCTGGGTGGCTCACTGGGTTAAGACCTCTGCCTTCGGCTCCGGTCATGTCCTAGGATCGAACCCTGCATCGGGCTTTCTGCTCTGCCGGGAGCCTGCTTCCTCCTCCTCTCTCTCTCTCTCTCTCTCTGCCTGCCTCTCTGCCTACTTGTGATCTCTGTCTATCAAATAAATAAATAAAATCTTAAAAAAAATTGTCTGTTTTCAAATGCAGTAATGTGCATGGTATAAATAGCATTAAAAAATCTACTGTCAGGCACCTGTGTGGCTCAACCGGTTAAGCGTCTGCCTTTGGCTCAGGTCTTGATGCCGGGGTCCTGGGATCGAACCCCTCATCAGGCTCCCTGATACTTGGTGGGAGTCTCTCCTTCTGCTCCTACTCTCACTCTTTCTCTCGAATAAATAAAAAAAATTTTTTTAATGTGATCAAAATTATTTTTTTAATGTAAGGGAAGAAATCATTGTGTCTTTTGTGTTTGTTTGTTTGTTTTTAATTTTTGTTTTGGTCCAAATCGCTGGTCTCTTACACTTGCATCATTTATATAAATTGATCCGAAATGCCACCCTTTTCTTCATATATCAAATTTCCATATACAGGCATTGGGTAGTTTGCAACAAAAAAATATGTGTGTTCAGGGAGTAGTGGGGGAAAACATGGGCTTTTCAAAACACATTTGTCTAGGCACACCTGGCTGACTCGGTTGGACTGGCAACTGACTCCTGATTTCAGCTCAAATCATGATCTCAGGTTTGGGAGATTGAGGCCCATGACAGGTTCTGCGCTGGGCATGACTGTTTGAGGTTCTCTCTCTCCCTCTACCCACCCCCAGCCCCCTGCTCACACGCTCTCTCTCTCAAAAAAATAAATAAAAAATAATATAAATAAAATAAAATAAAATAATGTGTCTAAATAAATAAATATAAAAAGACATTTGTCCCTGATTGCAGCAAAAGTCTATTTCCCTACTATTGGGTAATATGAGTCTCCTTGACCCAAATCTGCTTCTAAAGTTCTAAAAAGGGTATTCCAAAGCCTCATGAACAGAGCGTGCATATGCATGGAAACATGAGTCATGCATCAGAGAACCCCAGTGACTTGCGGCCACTGACAGGGATAGGCAAACGGGAGTAAGGAGCCCTTCCTGGGGTGGGCTCCCACTTCCAGCAGCCTAGAGAGCAAGACATAGCAAACTATCCGGAGGGTAAATCATGAAGTTTCTGCCAAAAACAACCAGAGACAGTTTAGATGCTTGAACATAAACTGTATTCCAGTAAAACTTATGGATACTGAAATCTGAATTTTGTATAATTATATGAAATTTCATATCCTTCCTTTTTCAACCATTTAAACCTGTAAAAACCATTCTCAGCTCACAAGCCATTAAAAAAGGGGTAGGGAGCTAGATCTGGCCCACCGGCCATACTTGGCTGACCCCTAACATAGGACAAGCCCCGTGCCCCTCCCCCACTGTGTTGCAGCTACCGGGGTCTGGAGGGAACTGACCCACCCCTAGATCCAGGAGGACCATATTGTTTTAACCTAATAAGTTGATTCTTGTCATCTTGCCAGTGACTGCTTCCAGATACACAGTACTTTTTAAAAATATTTTATTTATTTATTTATTTGAGACAGAGAAAGAGTGAGCAAGCACGAGCAGGGGGAGGGGCAGGGGAAGAGGCAGAGGGAGACGCAGACTCCCCACATGCCCCTAAGGATGCGGGGCAATGGCAGGACCTTGAGATCATGACCTGAAGATGCTTAACTGACTAAGCCTCCCGGGTGTCCCTAAGTCAATCAGACATGGTATTACCCAATGTGACTAAATTGTGCAAGTGAACCAGTTTAGGCCAATACGATGTAAAGGGAAATTAACTGAGGCTTTGGGGAAAGATGCATGTTTGTTCTTCTATGAGGTCTAACAGAAGCTATTCCTTTCCTCCTTCTGGAAGACGAGGGAGCATGTCATTCAGGGGTCCTGGTTGCATGAAACAGAATAATTTGGACTCACTTAAGCATAAGTGGACGTTATTATGAGCATCCTGGGTGACTCACGGACTCTGGAGGAGCACCAGGAATCTCTAGAAGGACCAGGCCGCCCGGCGAGGGAAAATTCCACTGCAGAAGCGAACCAGGGTAGAGCAAGAGCCATGGGCCAGGGAAGCTGGAAGAGGGGTTGCTCGGTAGTTCAGCTTCCAGAGTGGGAAGTGGGCTCTGCCTGTTAAGGTGGGAGTGTCTTTAAACACAGAGTCAGATCTCCAGAGATAAAAAAGGGATGATGAGAGACACACTTATGGACTGAAGGTTCTTGAGCCTCCAAAAGTCAAATGCTGACACATTAGCCCCCATTGTGATGGTATTTGGAGGTGGGGCCTTTGGAGGTAATCAGGTTTCCTCAAGCTGAAGTCCTTATGGTAGGATTAGTTCCTTCTAAGAGGAGGCTGAGGGCGGGCTTTGTATGCACGGTGTGAGGACACATGGAGAAGACAGGAAGAGGAGTCTCACCAGAAACCCAAGTCAACGGTCATCCTGGGCCTCCCAGACTCCAGAAGTGTTGAGACATAAATATCTCTTGTGTTTATGGTGTTCTGTTATAGCAGCCCAAGGAGACTAATGCAACCCCCAGAGAATGACAAACAGCAGCCATTTTGCCACCATGAGGAAGTGCATTTGGGATATAGTGCACCCGCCCCCCCGCCCCCAGAAACCAGGTCCTTTGTGAC